ATGAGGACCAATTACAAGTCACTTTTTTCAGCGCCGTTGTAACTTTGATCGGTTGCTAAATGAATCATTATACCATATTTTTTGGAGTATAAGACGCACCTTTCCCCCCCCCAAAAAAGGGGTAAAAATTTGGGTGCGTCTTATACACCAAATATAGCCCCGTCCACCCATTGGCCCCCACCCTTTGGCCTCTGCCTCCCAGCAATTTACCTCCTTGCAGCAAGCAGCAAGAAGAAACAGTCCATTTCAGCTTCAGCACAGCCTAATTAGCACAAGTTGAGTGTCTGTTGGATCAGCCTCCCGACTCTCAGCTGTTTCAGGCTGCAGGGATTGCCGTTGCCTATTGTTGCATGGACCTCTGCTGCTTGCTGCAAGGAGGTAAATTGCTGGGAGCAGATTTTTTTTTCTTGTGCTAATCAAGCTATGCTAAAAACGAAAATGAAAGTAAAGCAGGCTGTTTGCTGTTTGCGGCAATGAGGCAAAATTGCTGGGAGGCAGAGGCAGATATTTTTTTTCTTGTTTTCCTCACCAAAAAAGATAGGTGTGTTTTATAGTCCGGAACGTCTTATACTCTGAAAAATACGGTAAATTGAGGACTACCTATATCTCCCTCAAGAAGAACCTGTGCAAAGTGGATGGGGCTAAACAGCAAAATCTACTTCCTTTCTGTCTGCCCTTCCCTTTTTAACCTCTCTTTCTGACTATCTCTTTCTCCCTGCACAGATTTTTCCTCCCACTGTGTAGGAAGAGGCTGCTGGAAAAGTTGGGCTTTTTTTCTCCAAAACGTCTGGTATGAGCTTTGGCAAAGGATGTTCACCCATGAATTAAAGGGTACATGTGAATGACTCGTTTTCTGGGAAAGGGGGCAACGTATAAACTATTTATGTCATCGAAGGGAATATATTTAGAGTTCTGGCATATCTGCTCCCACGTGGCCAAAGTTTCAGCCTGCAATATTTTCCCACGAAAGAGCAGTGAACAGAGCAAAAATGGGGGGGGGGGGGGGGGGAAAAACAGGGCCTTCTTTCTTTTGAAATAAGGCTCGAAACAAAAGGGTTAATTTTTTTTATACATCCCTGATGATGGTTAGCTGAGGACATGGCAAAGAATCTGGAAAAATGCAAAAGGAATGTAGCGAGAAGCATTCAGAATTCAGTTCCAAAAGGGAAAAAAACAATGTAAAGGGAAGAAAAAATAAGGCATTTTTATTTATTTGCTTGGTCTTAAGTTTAGATCTATAATAACCTGATTCCTGATCTGGCTGATACCACAGCAAGCGCAGCAGCATCTGGAAAGGCCTGTAGTCCGAATAATTTCATCTTTTCCCATCTGGAAATGGCTGTTGGATGAGATTGGTCAGAAGGAACTCTCAAACTTCCTGAGTCTTTGCATCCTCTTGGAATTTCATTCCTTCCTTCTTTCCTTCTTCCCTCCCTCCCTCCTTCCTTCCTTCTTCCCTCATTTCTCCTCCCCTCCCCTCCCTCCTTCCTTTCCTTTCTTCCTTTCCTTCCTCCCTCCCTCCCTCCTTTCCTTCCTTCATTCTTTGCTCCCTCCCGTCCTTTCCCTCCTCTACCTCCCTCCCTTCTTCCTTCCTTTCCTTCCTCCCTCCCTCTTTCCTTCCTTCGTTTTTCCCTCCCTCCCCCCTTTCCTTCCTTCCTCCCTCCCTCCTTTCTTTCTTTCCTTCCTCCCTCCTTTCCTTCCTTCGTTCCTCCCTCCCTCCTATTTACTTGTGGTGCTAAAGGAAAACAATCATACCCAAATGCTCAAATGAATCACTAGTATAAATCTCTTTACAAACATTCATGTGCATCTAAGGCCCGGAGCTTCTCCCCCAGCCCGTTCTTCAGATGAGGCTCCCTCAATGAAAAAACAGCTGGCTTCTTTCCCAGCGCAGAAGATCATCTGCATTCAACAACTGCACTCAATTCTGGGAAACTGCTGCAGACCGAGGCCTGTTTTTGGCCATAAAAGTTTTGATCCCTTCCCGCCCCAAAAATAAGGCTGCCGTGATGTTTTTCTGCAAATCTAGCTTTAATATTTATTTATTTGTTAGATTTATGGTCTAGCGTTCCTCCAAGGCAACGTATGCGGCATTCCCTTCTTCAGTTTCCTGCACACCAACATTCCTCGGAAGTCAGGAGCAGAGCTGCTGGCCTAAAAATTGCTGCGATCCCTCTGTCTGTCATAAATGCATGCGAGTTGTTAAAACGTCTCAATTTTGATTATGTGACCACAGCAGGGATGTCAAACTCAATTTCATTGAAGGCCGCATCAGGGTTGTGTTTCACCTTGGGGGTGGCAGGAGGTGGCGTGGCCAGCTCGACGTCACTCATTGAGGCTCCATTTTCAGCCATGATGACCTCCTGCAGCCCTTTGCATGTAGCCCTCCCGAGCTCCGTTTTCCCTGGCAGAGGGCTGCAGGAGGTCGTCACGGCTGAAAACAGAGCCCGGGAAGACAGCATGTCGCCCTCCCGAACTCTGTTTTCCGGGAGGCCGGTCTTTGCTGTTTCCAGAGCAGACCTGAGGGCCATATTTAAACACTCTGCAGGCCACACCCAGCCCGCAGGCCTCGAGTTTGACACCCCAGGACTACAGGGACGTTACAAGGGCTATGTGAAAAATGGTCATCATTTTTTTTCAGTGCCGTTGTAACTTCGAACGGTCACTAAACGAATGATTGTAAGTTGAGAACTGCCTTTCTATAATATAGTGAATGTATATAAATCACAGAATAGTGTTAAAAATGTATGATCTTGTGGGGCTGCATCATTAGCTGTTCAGGGCCGCAGGTGGCCTGTGAGCCTTGGGTTGGACATGTCTGCTTTAACCGATGGATTGTTTTGGGGTTTTCGTACCTTCAACTCAGTCTTGATTTCTAGCAACTGCTTGGAAAAATTCCTGCCATTTTCTTGGCAAGGTTTTCAAAAATGGTTTGCCATTGCCTCCTTCCTAAGGCTAAGAGAAAGTGACTGGCCTAAGGTCACCCAGCTGATTTTATGCCTAAAACAGGACTAGAACTCAGAGTTTCTAGCCTTGTGCCTTAAGTACTACACCAACCTGCCTCTCTTTTAACAGTTTAGGACGCTGATACTTATTAAAGGAACTATAGCTCTTTCACGTACCTATCCTAACATTAAGCTGAGGACCAAAGAATTGAGGCCTTTGAACTCTGGTGCTGGAGAAGATACCTGAGAGTCCCTTGGACTGCAAGGCGATCAAACCGGTCAGTCCTAGAAGAGGTCAACCCTGTCTGCTCTTTAGAAGGCCAGATCCTGAAGATGAAACTCAAATACTTTGGCCACCTAATGATAAATAAGGACTCATTGGAGAAGAGCCTAATGCTGGGAATGATTGAGGGCAAAAGAAGGAGATGATAGAGAGTGAGTGGCTAGATGGAATCACTGAAGCAGTCAGCGTGAGCTTAAATGGCCTCCAGAGGATGGTAGAGGACAGGAAGGCCTGGAGGAACATCGTCCATGAGGTCGCGATGGGTCGGACACGACTTTGCAACTAACAACAACATCCTAATGTTAGGTGTTGTGGGATGGCCCTGATCATCTCATGGATTCTTCTCCTGAGATTCTTCTCTAACCCGATGCTCTAACTTTGGAAAGCCTTCCTCTGCCACCCGTTTGCTTTATTTTTACTCTGGCATTCAAGATTTAAGCATCCTCTTCTAGCTGTGTCCAACTGGTCCTTATTTAAATACCTCCTTCTTATGCCTCTCTTCGTGTGTGATGGCTACGGCTATTTTAATCCTTTAAAGCTTCGGTTCTCTTCAGTTCATTTTAGTGCTTTATCCTATCTATTTCTGGACTGCCAACCATGCTGAAATTAAAAGATTAATGGAAGAGAAAATGTAAGGAGATGGGATCAATTGAAAAGGATTATGGCATCACTATCCCAAAGGTGCTTTTTCAAGAGGCAACTGGATTTTCTTTGTTTTTCCTTGAAGAGGTTTCCTTCTCATCCAAAAAAACTTCACTTCAGTTCAGTTCTGAGGAAGCTTTTTGGATGAGAAGTGAAACCTCTTCAAGGAAAAACAAAGAAAGTCCAGTTGCCGCTTAAGAAAGCAGCTCTGGGACAACCATGACCTGGATGGCTGAGAATCTCCATAAACATATGGCATCACTAATTACTTTAGTCTGAAATAGTATGAGACAAGCTTTAATAACCCTGTTGTAGTGGGCTATGGAAGTGGCCTTGAGGAAGATATATTCAACAATCGATCAATAAACAACAGTTGAGTCCAGGGCTGAAATCCAGCAGGTTCTGACAGGTTCTGGAGAACCGGAAGCAGAAATTTTGAGTAGTTCGGAGAACCGGCAAATACCACCTCTGGCTGGCCCCAGAGTGGGGAGGGAATGGGGGTTTTGCAATATCCTTCCCCTAGGAGTGGGGAGGGAATGGAGATTTTGCAGTATCCTTCCCCTGCCATGCCCACCAAGCCACGCCCACCAAGCCACATCATGCCCATCAAGCCACACCCACAGAACCGGTAGTAAAAAAATGTGGATTTCACCACTGGTTTAGTCCCAAAAGTGAGAATGGGGTGAGGAAGAAACTCAATATTTCCCATTCTTGATTCTCTTTGTTATAAGAAGGGGAGAGAAGATTTGCCAGGTTTTCAAGATGTTACATTCTTATCAATAAAGTAGAGTACCAGTAAAATTTGGAGAGACTATTTCTTGAGATGACCAACTTTGAAGGGTTTTACTCCCAGAGGTTAGTTAGTTTATTTGATTTGTATACCGCCTTACTGGACTTTTTCCCCCCTTTGAAAACATTTCGCTTCTCATCCAAGAAGCTTCTTCAGTTCATTGATGAGAAGCAAAACATTTTCAAAGGGTGGGGTGGGGAAAAAAACTCCAAGAAAGTCCAGTTGCTTTTGGAAAAAGCACCTTTGGGACAACCATGACCTGGATGACTGAGAATCTCCATAGGCATTTTACACACTCATTGATTCCCTAAAAATAAAGCACATAAAGAAGAAACACCGATTAATTTGTAGGATTGTTTTGTTTTGTTTTTGTTTTTTTACTTTAGAAACCACCGGCTTCCAAATTATGAGATCAGCAACACAAGTGTATTCAAACCGTCTTGAAAAGAAAAAATAAACTAATATTCCTAACCGAGCATTAAAAGACCTCAGGCAGGAACTGTAGCTGAGCTTCGACGAAATGAGAAACTTGTATCCCTGTATAAAAGTGTGACTTCACGATTTTTTTTTTTGAAAACCAGGTCTTTGTGATTTTAGGAGGCTTCACTTCAGCATTTCTGAAGTCGTGCTATTTTCTCCCTTTCCCCCTCAGCCCTTAGAAGTGCACGGTGAGCAGCCCAGTTGTGTGACAGGGAACTCCAGACTCAGCGACCCAACCCACAAACGGGGTTTGTGTTCCTACACAGACGTACGCAACCTGGAATGTGTAAATCCATCCAGGGCAACGTTTTTTTCCACACTCAATCAGACTTTTTAGTTAAGGCAAGAAACTGCATGACCTCTTGGGAGGAAAGTCATCCAAACTATTTCTCCGTCGGCAACAGACCTTGGCTGATGAATTAAGCAGCCAGCATTGCAATCCTCATGGCAAATACTGATGGGCCTGCGTGCCTCCTCCCCACCTTCTTGGCAATGCCTAAAATCTGACGTAGCGAAACAACACAGTTCCCTTTGGGTGCTGGATCAAATGATAGGACCCGTTTTCATAGGAATTTCCTGGGATAATGAAATGCTCTCCCCCCTAAAAAGCTCTTTTGAGGCCTCCAAAAGCCTATCAGAAGATTCTCCTTGACTTTCCAGTTTTGCATAGTTGAGTAGGTCAATGTGATCCAGCCTAGGCCAGCTCCTGTGTTTCCTATCTATGCTGGGTGCCACTAATGCCGTTCTTGGCTGGCCGAGATCCAAGGATTTTGAATGACCTGAATTCGGGAACTCTCTCTTTGCACATTCATGAAAGTTATCCCCCAAGGTGCCTGAGTGGGGTGTGCTATCCATATCGATAACTACGTGGCTGCCTTTAAGGGTGTCCTTCCTGGGCACAACGTGGTTGCATCCAGGAAGGAAAGTCCACGAGAGTCTCCGGACCTCCTCCTTCTCCTCTGGCAACCTACAATTGTTTTTCAAGTCTTGGATACCCCCCCGAGAAACGCTCTGCTTTTCAAGCAGACAGCTGTTCAGTTTAATGAGAGGCAAAGGCAGGGCGTTAACAGCTGTAGAGAGGATGGACTCTGTTCCGCGAGTGAAGGAGAAGGCTCCGTTCTCCGGCATGGTGTTGCCGGAGTCCGAATGGATGCTCAAGAGAGACAGCGAAGGTGAGATGCTCTTGTGATGAAAGAATTGGGTTGTGGTTTGGAGCCTGCTGGAATTGCAGCTGTTGATCCATTTCTTTACAGGGCTGGAACAAGACTGGAAGCCACTGGAAGAAAGGTCCACCTCGTAGTAGCCTTCTACGCATTCAGCATTGGCCCTGAGGGTGGACGAGGTGGTCCTTCTCCTTTGAAAGTAATCGCTCGCGGGTCCCGTGTCCTGTGGGAAATTCAGGCCCAGGGAATAGAGCTCCTGCTGCATCAACAAGCGAGTCTCCATGTCTCGGTTTTCGTACAGCATCGTATTAGCACAGATGAAGATAAAAAGGCCCACGCCCATGACGACCGGCCCAATGAGCTTCAATTTCTCACTGTGGAGGAAGGAGCGAGCTTGGGGAGAAACCTTAATTTCCTTCCTGATGTCTCCGGTGACATTGGAACTCCCTGGCCTGCCACCGCCAGACTTTGTACGGTGAGGCCAATACCCGATGACGGCAATGGTCATTCCCACCAAGACCACCGAGATCCCCACCATCACAAAGACTCCCGAGGGCGAGCGCATCCGAAGCTGTCCCTTCACCACCGTCTGCGGGGAGGGCTTGCGCCGAAACCTACCCCTGTGCCACCGAGAAGGCGCGGAGGAGCTTGATGTTTTCTTCTCTGGGGTGTTGTGGGTCTTCATGGCTTCGGCAACTTCAGTTATATGGTCAGTTCCTCTTGGGTTGTCTACAAGTCATCTTAAGAATAGAGAGAGAGGGGGGGGGAGAAGGAAAAGGGTTAACCAACCAGGAGGTAGAAGAGAACATACAACATAGACCAGGGCAATGGTGAAATCCAATTTTTTTTTACTACCGGTTCTGTGGGCATGGCTTGGTGGGCATGGTGTGGCTTGGTGGGCGTGGCAGAGGAAGGATACTGCAAAATCTCTACTCCCACCCCACTCTGGGGGCCAGCCAGAGGTGGTATTTGCCGGTTCTCCGAACTACTTGAAATTTCTGCTACCGGTTCTCCAGAACCTGCTGGATTTCACCCCTGGACCAGGGGTGTCAAACTCAAGTTCTGGGGGCTGGATCCGGCCTGCAGGGTGCTTACATCTGGCCTGTGGGGCGACCCTGGAAACAGCAAAGGAGCAGCCCGCAGTGCCTCTGCCAGTGATAATGGAGCTCCGCGGCCCTCCCGAGCTCTGTTTTCACTGGCAGAGGGTTGCAAGAAGCTGTCGCAGCCAAAAACAGAGCTCAGGAGCCCGTTTTTGCTGGCAGAGCAGCGGTGAAATCCTCTGAAGTCTGCTACCAGTTCTTGAGTCTGCGCACCTGCGCAGCGCTAAAAAGGGAACATTTTGAAGCCTTCTGAGTCTGCAAAGGTAAGAAGAACAGCGGGGAGGGGGATGGGGGACTCCGCTGTGCCACGCGATTTAGATTAGCTAGAAAGCAGGAAATCCGATAACTCTACCTAATATAAATCAAGTGTCACAGCTGATCATCAGAAATACCAGTTTGCCTGAACTGGTAGCATTTTTTACTACTGGTTCAGGAGAACTGGTCTGAACTGGTAGCATTTCACCCCTGTGGCAGAGCGTTCGGTCCACCACAGGCACCCCTGACACGAGCGACGTCAAGCTGGCCATGCCCACACTGGCCCCCGAGATCAAACACAACCCTGATGCAGCCCTCAATGAAATCGAGTTTGACACCCCTGACATAGACATAGGTCCAAGGGCTTCTAGTCCAATCCCTTGCCTAAATGAGGTAGGAGACCTTATTCCATCCCTGATGGCATGAATGTAATTGGAAGGCTGTGATTCATCAAGAAGGGCTTATAAAGACCTCCTAAACTTTCCTTCCCAACCGACAGGTCCACCTCTAAGCTCTACTACTGACTCAGGTAGGTTTACTGTATTTTTCGAAGTATAAGATGCACCTTTTTCTCCCAAAAAAGAGGGTGAAAATCTGGGTGCGTCTTATACTCCGAATGTAGCCCCACCCAGCCTCGCAAATGGAGATTTCAGAGGCTGAAAGAAGCCTCTGAAAGAAGCTTCAGAAAAAAAGTCTCTGAAAGGCTTTTATCTAAAATAATATGGCAAGCAACAAAAGAAGAATCAGTAAAGATTCTAACCAAACTATGCTAACAAATCTGGAGAATGACACAATAGCCAACAGATGGGAAGAGTTTAATCTACATACCAATACCAAAGAAAGGAGATTGAACAGAGTACAGATAGTCCTTCAGAATAAAAGCCTCTGAAAGAAGCTTCAGAAAAAAAGCCTCCAAACAGAGCTTTGGAAAAAAAGGCTTTTTTTCTGAAGCTCTGTTTTGGAGGCTTTCAGAGGCAGAAATTATGTTTTTTTCTGAAACAGAGTTTCAGATATTTCAGAGACAGAAAAAAAAAGCAAGGCACAGAGCTCACAACCAATGAACCTGTTGCTAAAATTCACTTCTGGGAACAGTTGATTGGGGGTATTCCGGGAGGCCACCCACCAATCAGCTTTTTTCTTATTTTCCTCCCCAAAAACTAAGGTGCGTATTATACTCTGAAAAATACGGTATATACATTGAGGATCTCATCTTGGACAATGTAGAACTTTAGGTACGTGAATAAGATACTAGAGGCACGTGTTCTTTGCATAACACAATAACTTAGTCACAAAAAGCTTTGAACCAGAGAAAAGGGATATCAAAGCTCTAATCAACAACCAAACATTTTGTGAATTAAAAAAAGCTAGATTGAGACCCGAGTTTCAAATCCTGATCCAAACCTAACCCTTCTTGGCCAGCTCAGCTAGCCTAGGGGGGGAAACTACTGTCTAGATTTGGTAATGAATTTATTCTAATAGACCCATGCAGACTTTCCTGGGAGTGTGAAAACATATCCCCAAAAGCTATTGTGTGCGTTGTCTTTGTGGTGGTCCACATCCTCCCTGCAGCTTTGGAGACCAAAGCAATGGGCCAGTCTTGCTGTTTCTCCATTATCTCAGCCCTTTATATCTGTCCTAATTTTTTAAAAAGTGGGTCTGGTGATACAATGCAGGAGCTCAAGGTGAGCTGCCACATTGCTAGAAACATGATTTAAAGCTAATACGACAATGTATTGAGCATGCAAGCAAACCCAACATAAATTCTTTGTTTTCATTTAATCATTTTAAGGTATTATCTGTCTCTGGGAAAAGACATTAAGTGAACAAGCTTTAGAATGACATATGTGTTCCTGTCCCGAACTGTCAAATTCCGACACCAGGAGGAATTATAGGAAGAAAGAGAAAGGGATTTTTAAAACTTCAAAAACATGAATCCACCAATATTAAGTAATCCCTAAAGATACAAATAAATACAGATGTAACTATAGATCTATTTGTCACACATATACTGGATATTTCATAGACAGGCAATATCCTGACTCTGTAAACTGCTTGCAGAGGACTGTAAAGCATCGTGAAGCGGTATATAAGTCTAAATGCTATTGCTACCAATATTGGTAAGCTCAATGGGGAATCTAGATTTATTTTACGAACCTTGTTACTGACTTTAACATCTGCCGTGGTTCACTTACCAACAGTGGCAAGAAAGGTTGCAAAACGGGGCAAAGCTCACTTAAAAGATGTCTTGCTTAGCAACAGAAATTTGGAGCTTGATTGTGGTCATACGTTGAGAACTACACCTTTAGTGCAGGGGTCTCCAACCTTGGCAACTAAGCCTGGAGAACTTCAACTCCCAGAATTCTGGGAGTTGAAGTCCTCCAGGTTTAAAGTTGCCAAGGTTGGAGACCCCTGCTTTAGTGTGTTAATTTGCTACACGTCTTGCTGACAGATGACAATTTTTATCATTTCGGCAAAAATGTTTTGATGGCATTGCTGCCTCTCTTCGAATGAGATTCATGCATACATTCTACTCTATGCCTTCTCAGCCCTTACGGCAATAAAATAACACGGCCCTTACTTTTGCTTATCAGCCTTGGTCCAACCTCTTGATTGTTTCTCTTGTCTATTACAACATCCCCGGATCTCCTAACACAGGCATCAACATCATGCAGAAGAATTTCTGGAACGAGCTGTCTTTCTTGAACTTTTCAAGAACTCAAAACTCTCAGCTACAAAATCCTAACACTCAAAGTTCTAAGATGTCAGTTGAAGAGTTCCATACTATGAAAATAATCTAATCAGTCACTGTTCCTAAATAACCACTTGAGAAGCTTTGGTTGCTCGGCTCATGAAAAGAGAACTAGAAACATCCCACGATGCCTTACCAAAATGTAACTCATCTTACCTAAGGCTTATTCGGAGGCTCATGTTTCTAGCAATATAGCAGACTGCAACTCACGTTGAGCTCCTGCCTTGTACATCACACCCACTTTTTAAAAATTAGGACAGATTCAGTGAGCTGCTTCAGAGATAATGAAGGCCAGTCCTAGAGAAACTGAAGGTCTACCCCAGGGGTCTGCAACCTTAAACACTCAAAGAGCCATTTGGACCCGTTTCCCACAGAAAAGAAAACACCGGGAGCCACAAAACCCTTCCTGTGCCTGACTATTTCCTGAGGAGGCACAAAACTAGCATATGTAGTTGAATTAAACATTTTGTTTTCTTCTGAAACTTTTCTTTTCTTGGATTTATCCATGGTTGGCCTACTGGGGGTTTGAAAAGCTCAATAAATTGCGTGCCAGCGGGTGTCGCACATTGGTGGTTGTGATGCATATTTTGAGCGACGGAGCCACAGCGGAGGGATGAAAGAGCCACATGTAGCTCCAGAGCCGCGGGTTGCTGACCCCTGGTCTACCCAAAGAGAAGACCTCACCTGGACCCCACCTGATCACGTTTGCAAATGGAACAGGGGTCTTCAGGTTCCACCTCTTTAAGAATGTCTGCAAGATCCAGCATCCAGGTTATGATCCTTTAACCTAAAGAGCTCAACATGGTTTCCAATCAAGTGCCTCTGGGAAGTAGGTCATTGTGGTATACATTTTAGACCTCACCTGGAAATCCTTATGAATTTTCATCAAGGGAGATCTGGATGATTTATCCCAGTGGTTGGCAACCTTAAACACTCAAAGAGCACAAAGGCCCTAACCGGAAGCCCCCCCCCAATTCAATTCTGGAGCCAACCGGAAGTCCAGTTCCCCCATCATAGAGTCTCCTCCTAGCGCAGCGTCCTTTTTCCTCTACCTGTCCTAACCAAAAGCCCTATCAATTGTGGAGCCGACCAACAACAGGGAGCCGCAGCAGAGGGATGAAAGAGCCACATGCGGCTCCAGAGCCGCAAGTTGCTGACCCCTGACTTATCCAGTCCTCTCTAAAAGCAAGCACTACCTGGATAAGATTGGCATAACTTGCTTGGTAGGAGTTGCCAAGTATGATAATGAAGGTTATGCAGATCCTAATTTTAAAAGGAATGCAACCAAACCATTTGGAGATTCTATAAGAATTAGTATCTCACCGGATGCCCTTCACATGCATTGGGATTATAATTCCCTGGGAAATCTGGACACTGAAATTCCAGCAGACTCAGGAAGACACAAGGTGGAGAGACAGAAACAATTCAGGAAATCATGTAGATATTTTTTGAAGTGGTTCAGACTTTGAGGCAGATTTAACATGACAACTATTGCTAATATTCATTTATCTGGAATTAAATACAACTAAAAAAAGCAGAGCAAGACAGAACTTAATTCAGAGCCAGAGAAAGCTGCTCTATGCAGAGTTCAAAATCATAATGTTATTATTAGAATTCTAGAGAAAGGTTACATAAG